GGTTGTGACAAGTAAGTGTGAAAATTGGAGGAGGGATTCAAGTTTCTTTGTGAAATGGAAGCAGTACTTTTCTGCCTTTCAGAAAAGGAACATGTTTGGTTGTTGGGTTGTTTCAGTGTAATTTTGGTACATTAGGCTTTCAAGCTTTTTCATGTGCTGTTTGGTAAGTCCAACATTGCAAACGGTAGCTGTGAATTCAATAACCCGTCTTGCATAATGTTGTTGGTAAGACCCTGTTTGGCACATAGTAGTGTCCTACCTGTGGGCTAGAAGGCCTGGGTTCAAGCCCCACCTGCTCCAGAGGTGTGTGATAACATCTCTGAACAGGCTGATCAGAGAAGAAAAAAGCAGAGCCAAAAATGCTGTTTTGGTGCAGTGGTAGTGTCCCTACCTTTGGACACGAGACCTGGGTTCAAGTTCCACCTGTTCCTGAGGTGTGTAACAACATCCCTGAACAGATTGATTAGTTTAAAAAAACAGACCTGGGGCAGCTCTTGTGGCACTGTAGTAGTACCTCTAGGCCAGGAATTCAGGGCTTAAATTCAACCTGTTCCAAAGGTGTGTAAAACACCTCTGAACAGATTGATCAAAAAAACTCTTAATTGGGTTGGGTGTGCACAATATGTATGATGTGAATAAAAGATTGTATAAAGCAGACACAGGGATAAAAACAAAATAAAGCAGAGCCAGAGAGGGGAGGCAGTGGCCTAATGGTATTATTACCAGACCATTAACCCAGAGACCCAGGTTAACATTCTTGGGACTGGGATGGTGGCTGATGGCATGGCAGATGATGGAATTTGAATTCTAGAATTAGAAGTCTAATGATGACCATGAAACCATTGCGGGAAAAAATAAATCTGGTTCACTAATGTCCTTTGGGGAAGAAAACTGCCATCCTCACCTGGTATGGCCTGCGTGTGACTCCAGATGCACAGCAATGTGGCTGACACTTAAGTGCCCTCTGGGTAATAAGGGATGGGCAATAAAATGTTGATGCGCACATCTCGTGAATGAATATAAAAAGCAAATGTTCTGAAGAAGGATCACTGGATTCAAAATTTAATATTTTTTAAAAAATGGCAGACCCAGGGATGGGTTTGCAGGACTAACTGCCCTGGGCTGGGGCTAGCCTATGTACACCAGGAGTAGTGTTCAATGAAAAATGATGATACTTTGCAGGTGGGCTTCCTAAGTTATTACAATGAGGAAAATTGAATGGAATATTCGATGGAAATAGAAGGCGTAAAAACGTGAGGAAATATTTCAGTGGCAGAGAGGCTGAGTTCAGAATCTTATGCAGAAGCAGTCTTGATGATTGATGGCAGGTGGAGTTTCAGTCTTAGCTTGATTAAACACGATGCCAAGACACACATCTGACGTGTCCGTAAGCGAACAATTGATCTTATTAAAAGACTAATTTCAGTGTAAAGAAATTAACTTAAAGTAGTGTGAATAAAAAAGTACCAGCATTTACTATGACACAAATGTCTGTGAAAACAATTTGTTTGAGATAGATGCTGTTGGCTTGTACACTATAACTGCACTGTACTTAAAGTTCTCTGCTTATTTTGCAGTGTTACAGAAAGAGGCAGCAAATCCTGCTGATGCTTAAGTTCTCACTGTTTACTGGAATTCTAAGAAAGACTTTGTTGAACTACAGCAGTTTGTATTTGAGTGGCAGTAGTCACCATCATTATTGCTTTCATTCATTAAATTTGATGGTAATTGTATGAAATTAGATGGGAGAAGTATCACTTAGGATGCTGACATGTTAATGTCTTCTAACAAAGCTCAATGTGGACTGCGTACATTTCTATTCAGCAACACCATTACCAAAATTAAATCCAGTCAATGTTTACTCTGGGCAGAATTTCATCATTGTGGGCAAGTATACGTACCTTCCAATCCATTGTAAAATTGGTGTAGTGACGTTAAGTTAGGTCCCTCATTTCATGATATCCACCTCGGAAATTATTATGAGCACATTGAGGAGTTGGAGTCTGCAGTTGAAACTGTGTGAGAGGTACGGGAAAATTGTTTTCCGAGTCACTCTTAGCAAACGCCTAATGTTGAGCTGGTGATGAATTCAGCTGTTAGGAAGTCGTGAGAAAAATGTACTTTGTCTCTCCTTAGCTAATCATAGCGCAGGCCGAAACAAATGGGCCATGTGATAATAAAAGGTAGAAGTAAAATTGCCATTGTCTTACCAAACTGTAGAGCTGCTCTCTCATTAGAGAGACAACTGGTTGAGGTATAACCTGAGGGTCAATCCAAAGGAGACTTCTCAAGTGAAAAGGAATGGGAGGGGACAGTGGCTAGAGGCAGCCGCTGATATTGAAGGGTCAGAAAGCCTCAAGGGAGGAGCAAAAACAAGGCTACCCAAGGAGAAGGCATTACTCTGAAGAAAGGGTGTGCAAAAAGTGCACAAATTATTTTCAGATGACAGAATGTCATCGACATAAAGGTTCTATCTAAACAGAGTCAATCGCATCAATTTTATAAGATGCTGGAGCAGAAGTTCTAACTGTGTGGTAGACATCCAGTCCCTATGGTAATGAGAATCATGGTGTTCTTGCGTTTCTATGCCTAGGAATCCTTTCAATGATCAGAAGGAGATCTGTGTCATCCCATAATCCCCAGCCTGTGATTCCAGCAGGATAATAACTGATGCATTGTTTGGAAAAGTGGGCAACTTCATACATGTACCACTGGCAACAACGGGCAGTCAAGAGAGCAAGATGGTTTGGGACAATCACAGAATTTCTTAAAGTGCAAGAGATCATCAACTGCACTTGTGGCCATTAAGACATCTGTGTGGATCCCAAAGTCCTTTGTGAACCAGAAAGGGTTTAATTTCCTGAATGTGTCCATAAAAATGATCTGCGATTATGGCCTCTCAATTCCTGTTCTCTTTATGAGAGGTGATAGAAGATTCCTTTTGGAAATGGTGTATACTAGAGCTAATGGCTGACTGATCAGCTGAAGAAATAATATGGATAAATGCAACTCAACAATGAAGAACAGAACTGTATATAAAGAGTTCTGTTTCTGATAATGACCTACAAAATGTAACTGAAAGAACTGCAGATGCTGTAAATCAGGAACAAAAACAAAGTTGCTGGAAAAGCACAGCTGGTCTGGCAGCATCTGTGAAGAAAAAAATCAGAGTTAAAATTTCGGGTCCGGTGACCCTTCCTCAGAACTGATGGTGGCTGGGAAAACATCAGTTTTAGGCTCTATCCTATCGTTTACTCCCTACCCCATTCCTCTTCCTTTTTTCTGCATATAAACTGATGTTTTCAGAGCCACCATCAGTTCAGAGGAAGGGCCATCAGACCCGAAATGTTAACTCTGATTTTTTTCTTCGCAGATGCTGCCAGACCTGCTGAGCTTTTCCAGCAACTTTGTTTTTGTTGCAAAAGTAACAATTGTCTCACAGTGGGCATTTACACCCATTGCAGCATACACATGCCCATCCCATCTACAGTCCTTCAACCGTGCTACCGAGAGAGTTTCCCAAGAATACTCACTCATCATCCCAGCTCAAATTCTGGCCTTTTTTTGCCCACTGATCTGGTCAGATCCATGAGATCCTTAATCTTCACCATGACTCTTTTTTTCTTGTTTTAAAATGCTTGGAATGTTTTGCTACATTAAAGATTTTTATAGATATGTTGTTGTTGAATTCTAGAATGGACAGCAAGTCTGGCCTATAATATTCAATGATATGAATCACTTCCATTTCCAGATTTAAGCAACTCTGAGGGATAGAAAAGAAATAGATTCAATGAAAGGGAAGAAATGGAAAGTAATGAATGGGGCCAGGGAATAGAGAGAGAACCATGAATGGAGGACAGAAAGGGAAGACAATGCTCAAAATACATGACAGGATAGGTGAATCCAAATCCCAGCGCCCCTCCTTCCCCCACCCCGAAAAGGCCAAAATGCTTGGAAAAATTCAATCACAGGATTACCAATCAGAGGAAAATTATCCCCTAAGTATAACCGATAGAATTGGTGAGCATCTGCCTCTCCAGTCACAGGCTGGTCAGCAATGGGCTGCACCTTACAGTGAGTTCATCAGCAGCAAAGGCAGGAAGGAAGCAGCATGTGACTTCAGCAACATTGGGAAGGTGAGCAGCGGCTGTGAACAAGGCCAGAAGAAGCAGGTGGATGAGGTTGAAGACAGTAGGGGAGTGGAACTGATGACATAGACCTGAAAGTGTTAAGGTGCAGAAATCCCAGAATATGGAGGAAAATTGTACTGGATGCTGTTGTAAATAATAGTTTAGTAGTAAATCATGTTATCACATCTTGAAGGGCCTCAAGGGCCTTGAGGACAGTGGGGATGTTAGAGACAAACATGCAACTTTTTAACTGTGACTGCACCAGTCTGCGGAAATCATGTTTAGGTTTCCGACTTTTTGTTCATTTAAGCGTGTGCGAGTTTTTTTTTTGCCTGTTATACTAAAATACTGTTGTTTCGAGGAAATTAATGCTTTCCTTGTGTGGTATGACTTTTAAGTTAAACTAATCAGTGATGATTATTGAAGGTATTGATGAATTCTTTTCATTCTCCTTCTTTGTGAGTAAATGCCCTAAATTGAGCGCAAAAACAGACAATAATGTTACCAAATGAGTGCACTACCTAATAAAGGATGCAGTGAGAATGAAAGAGGAGCCCATGAAATAGCCCCAAGAAAATCTCGATTCCTCAAAAAATAATGTATTTTAATCACTGCAAGCCAAAAAACAGGGAAGGGAAATGGATTAAAAGTGGCTGCAGACAGGAAGCTGCAAAGGGTGTTTGGAGGTGTTGGAGGAAGGAAAGCTGAGTCTTGAAACTGAATGTTGCAGAATTGTATCAGTATGAACTGAAGACCAACACAAAAAAATCTAGCTTTGAGTAACACAGTAAATAAAGTAATAAAGTAAATTTCAAAGTAATAAATACAGTTTGATTTAGAATTATAATTTTTTAAACTTGTTTTTTGCAGGCAAAAGCTTGATATCCAGGATGAAAATACTTGTGCTATTTTATGTACTTACTTCAGTCAGAAGATGATTACTGGAACAAAACCGGATTATTGCTGTCCAGGAAAATCAATGGTGTTCAGGAAAGCTCCAGTGTCTTTAACTGTGAAATTTAACCTTACTGATTCAGGTCAAAAACATTATTCAGTTGATCAGGTGAGCTTCATACATTTGTGCAATGATATTTAGTCAGTCTTTTCACGAATGTTTTAGTTATGAAGAGAGTTTGGACAGATTGGAATTGTTTTTCTTAAAGTCGAGGAGTTATATTGAGATGTATAAAGTTATGAGGGGCATACATATGGTAGACAGGAGTAAACTTTTCCCTTATTGAAGGGATTAATGACGAGGGTGCGTAGATTTAAGGTGGGGTAGAAGATTTAGAAGAGATGTGAGGAAAAATATTTTCAACCAGAGGTTGGTGAGAATTTGGAACTCACTGCCTGTAAGGGTGGTAGAGGCAGAAACCCCGATAACGTTTAAGAAGTATCTAGATGTTTACTTGCAGTGTTGAGGCATACAAGGTTATAGGGAAAGTGCTGGAAAATAGGATGAGAATAGCTCGATGGTTATTTTTGACTGGTGTGCATTTGTTGGACTAAGAGCCTTTTTCTTTGATATAGATCTCTTCTATTAGTTAGCCAATACTCCACCCATGCTACTCTACTAGCATGATTAGAGTATTGGCTAACTAAAACAAGACACAGAATTGTGATAAGGGCAGCATTTTCAAGATGGCAGCCTGTAGCTAGTAGAGTGCCACAGGGATCGGTTCTGGGACCAAAATTATTTACAATAGATATTGATGATTTGGACGAGGAAAGTGAATGTAATACTGCCCCGTTTGTCGATGACACAAAAAGAGGTGAGAAGGCAAATGATACAAAGTCTGCAGAGATATTTAGACATGTTAAATGAGTGGGCAAAAACTGGAATATAATGTGCGAAAATGTGAGGTTACGCACTTTGGCAGGAAGAATAGAGGAGCTGAGTATTATTTAATTGGAAGACAGCTGTAGAACAGATGGACTTGGAAGTGCTTGTGCATGAATCGCAAAAAGTCAACATCTAAGTTTAGGCGGTAATAGGGAAGGCAAATGAAGTAGTGTCCTACATTGCAGCTGGAATAGAGTTGAGAAATTGGGAGATCTTGCTAATTCTATATAAGGCATTAATCAAACCACAGCTGGAACACTTATCAGTTTTAAGCCCTTATCTAATGAAAGATATGTTGAAGGCAGTCCGGAGAATGTTTTCATAGAATCATAGAATCCCTACAGTGTGAAAGCAGGCCATTCAGCCCATCAAGTCAACACCAAGCCTCCGAAGAGCATCTCACCTCTTATCCTATGCCTGCATTTCCTACCCTAGACACTATGGGCAGTCCACCTAACCTGCACATCTTTGGACTGTGAGAGGATACCAGAGCACACTAGGAAACCCACGCAGACATGGGGAGAATGTGCAAATTCCACGCAGTCAGTAGCCCAAGGGTCCCTGGTGCTGCGAGGCAGCAGTGCTAACCACTGAACCACTGTGCCGGTCCATTTTCTAGAGTGATCCCAGGTTTGGAGGGCTTGATTTATGAGGAGAGGTTGAGTAGCCTGCACTAGTAATTGGTGGGTTTTTGAACAACGAGAGGCAACCTGATTGAAACATAGAAGATTCCTAAGGTCAATATCAAGGAGGCATCATGTTAAGTTGAAAGGCAGGAAGTTTAGAGGAGATTTGAGGAAGAATGTTTTCACCAGGAGAGTGTTGGCATTCTAGAATATGCTGGTTATGAGAGTAGTTGAGACAGGAGACCTCTCAACCTTTAAAAAGTACTTTGATGACCACTTGAAATATCATAACATTCAAGACTGTGAACCAAGTGTTAGAAAGTGTGGCTAGTGTAAATTTAGAAAGTCCAAATCTCTAAAATGTATCATAAGCAGACTCTAAACTGTATCAGTCTGAGGGGACTTGATAGGTAGATAGCCCTTGTAGAAGAGTTTAGGACCAGAGGGCATAATCTCAGAATAAGTAGTCACTCATTTAAAATGGACATGAGGAGGAATTTCTTCTCTCAGAGGGTACTGAATCTGTGGAAATCTTTACTGTAGGGGGCTATTGAGGATGGGTCATTAAGAATATTGAGAGCTGAGGTAGACAGAATTTTAATTGGAGAGACAATGGCCTAGTGGTATTATTAATAGATTCTGAATCCAGAGACCCAGGTAGTGTTCTGGGAACCTGGGTTCAAATCCCTCCATGGCAGATGATGGAATTTGAACTCAGTAAACATCTGCAGCATAATAATGACTATGAAACCATTGTCAATTGTCAGGAAAAATCCTATCTCATTCACTAATGTCCTTTAGGGGTGGAAACTGCCATTCTTGTGTGGTCTGGCCTGCATGTGACTGCAGACCCGCAGCAATGTTGTTGATTCTCAAATGCCCTCTGGGCAATTAGAGGTGGGCAATAAATGGCTAGTTTAGTCAGCAATGGCCGTATCCTGTTAGTGAATTTTTACAAAATCAATAAAGGAGTCAAGGTTCTGAGGAAAGTGTAAGTGGAGTTGAGGATTGTCAAATAAGCCATGGACTAATTAATGGTGGCGCATATTAGATAGGCTGAATGGCCTAAATCTGCTCTAACATCTTGTGGTCTTGTCGCTAAATTCTCACTAACAACATCTCGGGGTTGTTATTAATCAGAAATTGAACTGGACCAACCGCCTATATACAATAACTACAAGAGCATATCAGAGGCTAGGTGTTCTGAGATGAGTATCTCACCAACTGATCCCTAAAAGCGTCTTAACCATATGCAAGGCACAAGTCAGAGTGTAATAGAATGCTTTCCACTTTCCTGAATGAGTGCAGCTCCGACAACACTCAAGAAACTTGACACCATCCAAGACAAAGCTGCCTGCCTGATTGGTACCCAACCTTCAACAGTCCAAAGATGTACAGATTAGGTGGAATGGCTATGCTAAATTGTCCAGTACTGTCCAGGGATGGGCAGGTTAGGTGGATTAGCCAGGGTAAAAGTAGAACTACAGAAATAGGATAAGGGGACTAGATCTGGGTTGGATGCTGTTTGGAGAATCGATGTGAACTTGATGGACCAAGTAGCCTCTTTCCACTCTGTAGGGAATCTCTGATTCATTTGCTCCCTCTACCACCAATGCACAGTGACAGCAGTTTGTACCATTGACATAATGCACTTAGCCAATCACTTTTGACGATATCCTTTCAAACTGGTAACCCCTACCTCCTAGAAGGATGTAGGTCCACTGGGGCACCATCACCCAGTTGTTCCCCTCCAAGCCATGCATCTTCCTGACTTTGAAATACATTGCCATTCCTTCATGGTCACTGGATCAAAACCTTGGCCCTCCCTTTCTAAAAGCACCGGTTATGTTTACTCACCATAGATGAAGGGTATCCTTAAGAGGAAAATTGGGAAGACAGACAGGGAATGTCAGATAGCCTAGGCAGATAAGGTTAAGGATAATCCAAAGAGATCCTACAAGTGCATTAGGAGCAAAAGAGCAACTAGAGAGAGAGTAGGGCCTCTTAAAGGTCAACAAGGTTATATCTGTATTGAATCTCAGGAAACAGGAGAGATATTAAATGAATATTTTGCATCATATTTTACTGTGGAGAAAGAAACGGAGGCTAGAAAAGTCAGGGAAATAAATATTGATGTTTTCAAAACGATGCACTTACAGAAGTGGAAGTGCTGAACATCTTAGAAAATATAAAGGTGAATAAATCTCTGGGACTGGATCAAGTGTATTGCAGGACATTGTGGGAAGTTAGGGAGGAAATTGCCGGGCCCCTAACAGAAATATTTGTATCACCTATAACCACAAGTGAGGTGCCAGAGGACTGGAGGGTGGCTAATGACAGGCAAAAACAGGTAGATGAACATGATAGCATTAATGGGCTGGAGTGTGTTTATTTCAACACAAGGAGGTAAGGCAGATGAGCTTAGAGTCTGGATCAGTATATGGGACTATGATGTTGTGGCCAATACAGAGACTTGGTTGAGAGAGGGACAGGACTGGCTGCTCAATGTTTCATGATTTTGTTGTTTTAGACAAGATAGAGAGGAATGTAAAAGAGGTGGAGGAGTTGCATTACTAATCAGGGAGAATGTTACATCTGCACCCAGGAAGGACATACCTGAGGGCTTATCCACTGAGGGAATATGGGCAGAGCTCAAAAATAAGATGGTTGCAATTACTCGGATAGGATTATACTCTAGGCACCCCAACAGCCACCGAGACATTGAGGAACAAATATGTAGGCAGATTATGGAAAGATGCGATAAAAACAGAGTTGTCAACGTGGGTGACTTTAACTTGCCCAGTATTGACTGGATCTCCTAGAGTAAGAGGCGTAGATGGGGCAGAATGTGTTAAGTGCTTCCAAGAGGGTTTCTTGAAATGGCATGTGGATAGTCCAATTGGAAGAGGGGCCATACTGGACCTTGTACTGGCCAATGAGCCTGGCCAGGTGACTGACCTTTCACTGGGAGAAGGTTTTGGAAACAGTGATGACAACTTCTTTTGAGATGGCTATAAATAAGGATAAGTAAGGACCTTGTGGCAAGGTACAATATTGAGGGACGGCAAGTTACATCAGTATTAAGCAGGAGCCAGGGAGAGTTATTTGGGAGGAGCTGTTTTCAGGCAAATCCACGTTTGATATGTGAGAACTGTTTAAAGACCTACTGATGAGAATTCAGGACTGGCATGTTCCAGTAAGGAGGAAGGACAAGGATGGCAAGGTAAGGGACCATTGGATAATGAGGGAGGTTCTGAGTTTAGTCAAAAATAAAAAAAAAGAAGCATATTTATGGTTTAGGAAACTAAAATGGGACAGGGCCCATGAGGAATATAAAGAAAACAGGAAAGAATGCAAGCATGGGCCATAAAATGACCTTGGCAAGTAGGGTTAAAGAGAATCCCAATACATTCTGTACATGCATGAAAAACAAGAGGACAACTAGGGAGAAGGTAGGACCACTCAAGGACAAAGGAGGGAATTTGTGCTTGGGGGCAGAGGATATGGGTGAGATCCTAAATGAGTACTTTGCATCGGTATTTACTCAGGAGAAAGATATGGAGGATAATGAGATTTGTGTGGAGGATGCTCATATGCTACAGCATTTTGAGATCAAGAAAGAGGTGGTGTTGGGATGCTTGAAGATCATTAAGGTGGATAGGTCCCCAGGGCTAGATGGTATCTACCCCAGGTTATTGAGAAATTCAAGAGAGGAGATTGCTGGGGCTTTGACTAAGATCTTTGCACCCTCATTAGCCAATGGAGAAGTCCCGGAGGACTGGCAAGTAGGTAATATTGTTCCTCTACTCAAGAAGGGAAATAGGGATAATCCAGGAAACTATAGACTGGTGATTGGGAAGCTATTAGAGAGAATTCTGAGGGATAGGATTTACGTGCATTTGGAAAAGCATGGCATAATTAGCTACGGACAGCATGGCTTTGTGTGGGGCAGGTCATGTCTTACTAACTTGATTGAATTTTTCGAGGAGGTAACGAAGGTAATCGATGAGGGTAGAAGCAATGGATGTTGCTTACATGGATTTTAGTAAGGCTTTTGACAAGGTCCCTCATGGTAAGCTCATCTAGAAGTTTAAGAAGCATGGGATCCACGGTGACTTGGCTACGTGGATTCAGAATTGGTTTTCCCATAGAAGGCAGAAGGTAGTGGTGGATCATTGTTTTTCAGGCTGGAGGTCTGTGACTAGTGATGTTCCGCAGAGATCTGTAATGGGGCCTCTGCTGCTTGTGATATATGTAAATGACTTGGATGAAAATGTAGATGGGTGGATTAGTAAGTTTGCAGACGATACAAAAATCGGTGGAATTGTGGATAGTGTAGAAGGTTGTCAAAGGATACAGCGAGATATACATGAGTTGCAGATATGGGCAGAGAAATGGCATATGGAATTTAACCCGTGTAAGTTTGAGGTACTGCACTTTGGACAATCAAATGTTAAGGAAAAGTATACAGTTAATAGCAGGTCCCTGAACAACATTGATGTACGGAGGGATTTTAGGGTTCAAGTCCATAGCTCTCTGAGAGTGGCCACGCAGGTAGATCGGGTGGTAAAGAAAGCGTATGGCATGTTTGCCTTTGTTGGTCGTGGAATTGAGTAGAAGAGTCAGGATGTTATATTGCACCTTTATAAGACTTTGGTTGTGCCACACTTAGAGAATTGCATTCAATTCTGGTCGCCACATTACAGGAAGGATGTGGAGGCAGAAGAGGTTTACCAGGACGCTGCCTAAATTAGAAGGTATGAACTATAAGGAGAGGCTAAAAAAATTCGGGTTGTTTTCTTTGGAGCAGCTGAGGCTGAGGGGAGACTTGATGGAAGTCTACAAAATTATGAGATGCATAAACAGGGTTGACGGTCAGAATCTTTTTCTGAGGGTTGAAATGTCTAAAAGAAAGGGGCATGCATTTAAGGTGAGAGGGGGAAAGTTCAAAGGAGATGTGAGGGGCAAGTTTTTTTTACACAGAGTGATAGGAGAATGGAATGCATTACCAGGGGTGGTGGTGGAGGCATATACGATTGGGGCGTTTAGGAGATTTTTAGATAAGCACATGAATGTGCAAGGAATGGAGGGATATGGACCAAGGACAGGCAGAAGGGATTAATTTAATTTGGCATCATGTTCGACACAACGTTGTGGGCCGAAGGGCCCATTCCTGTGCTGTACAGTTCTGTGTTCTATGTTCTAATGCTTTGCCTTTATTTAAGTAAGGCTGGAAGGAGAAGCCTGGGAACTATAAACCTGTGAGTATGACATCATTAGTAGGTACATTGTTGGAGGTGATTCTGAAAGGTAGGATTTGCATGCATTTGGAGAGGCAAGGAATGATTAGGGATAGGCAGCATGATTTTGTGTGAGGGAAATCATGTCTCAATCTTGACTGAGTTTTTTGAGGACATAACCAAAAAGATTGATAAGGGCAGAACGGTAGATGTTGTTTAGTTGGACTTCAGAAAGCCTTTGATAACATTCCGCTTGGTAGACTAATTAGTAAAGATGGATCACATGGGATTCACGGCAAGCTTGCTAATTGAATACAAAATTGGCTTAATGGTAGGAGACAGCAGGTGGTGGAGGGTTATTTGGAGGCCTGTGACTGGCAGTGTTCCAGAGGGATTGGTACTGGGTCCGCTTTTGTTTGTCATTTATACAAATGATTTGGATAAGAATATAAGAGGCATGGTTAGTAAGTTTGTGGTTGACACCAAAATTGGTGGTGTAGTGGACAGTGAAGAAGCTTATCTAAGATTACAAAGAGACCTTGATCTATTGGGTCTGTGGGCTCAAGAGTTTAATCTGGATAAGTATGAGGTATTGCATTTTGGTAAAACAACCAAGGGTAGGACTTATACAGTTAATGGTAGGGCCCTGGGTAGTGTTGTAACACTAGAGAGATCAAGGGATTCAGGGACAAAATTCTTTGAAATTTGCATCACAGGTAGGCAGGGTGGTTAAGAAGGTGTTTAGCACACTTGCCTTCATTATTCAGACCTTTGAATATTAAGAGTTGGGCTGCATGTTGAGGTTGTATAGGACGTTGGTGAGGCCACTTCTGGAGTACTCTGTGCAGTTCTGGTCGCCTTGTTGCAGGAAGGGCATCATTAATCTGGAGAGGGTTCAGAAAAGATTTACTGGATATCCCTGAGAATGGAGGGTTTAAATTATAAAAATAGGCTGGACAGGCATGGGACTTTTTCACTGGAGGTTGAAGGGTGACTTTATAGAGGTTTATAAAATCATGAGGGTCATAGATAAGGTGAATAGCAAGGGTCTTTTCCCTAGGGTGGGGGAGTTCAAAACAAGGGAGCATATTTTTAAGGTGAGAGGAGAAAGGTTTAAAAAGGACATGAGCAGCAACTTTTTCACACAGAGTGGTTGGTGTGTGGAATGAACTGCCAGAGAACCTGGTGGATGCAGGTACAGTTATAACGCTTAAAAGACATGTGGATAACTACATGAATAGGAAAGGTTTGGAGGGATATGGGCCAAATATAGGCAGTTGGGACTGGTTTAGTTTGGGAACATGGTTGGCATGCACCAGTTGGACCAAAGGATCTGTCTCCATGCTGTATGACTCCATGACTGAAAATGAACTTTGGAAGCTCTCACTCTAAGCAACGGTAGATGTTCTTCCACCATTGATCTTCTTGCCATCTAAGTATGAAACTACAAATCAGGTTTACTGAATATCAAGTGCTTAATCCTGATCCTCATGGCACTAGAAACATGGTGTGCTTTCCATGAGGCTGATATCTTTTCTATGGGTGTTCGTTGATGAGCTAGTATAGGCTGGAGTGCTCCCGCATGGAGCCATGTCCACATTTGACACAAAGGTTGACAACTAGCCCTGAATCCTAAACGATTGTTCCTGTGTTCACAAAGCAGAATATGACAATAAGGAATGCCGGAAGTCTATTCCCGATCCCACAGGAGGAGGTAATGAAAGTGTTGGACTTTGAGCATCGTTTGTCAGCTACCAGTGTATGTGATTCACTTCTCGAAGTAATTGAAAGCCAGGGAGCAGCAGGATGGGCAAAGCAAAATCTGAAAGTCGTTATACAGAGAGTGTACTGTCTTCCTACTAAAGAAGTTCTTCACAATCAATTGACCAGAAACAACCAACAAGATCATCCTCTACCTTCAAATGTAGGTCAACAAAATTCAAGGTAAGCTGTGGATTGAAATATTGCAACCAAGCTTTTTCTCTTTTTATTAATAAACTGAGAAAAAGAGCTACAGTTAATAAAGCTGAATGGAGCAGGGGTTGGAAAGAGTTCAGAAAAAAGAAAATAATAGAATTAATGGATAGGTGATATCAAGTTGGGTTTCTGAAGATTGAACAATGCAGGCAGAAATGACAACTGAGGGAAGCAGGTTCACACAGTCCTTAGGAAGAACAAATTAACAGTCAATGAGCATCTTGATTTCCATGTTTTGAGGATGCAAGAAACATTGCAGGCATCAGACTCCTGGGCTCAGCAACACATGCTGCCCCATAATAATTAAATAAACAGAGGGCAAATTTGGTTGGAAAAACTAACAGAATTGGAATTTCTTACTAATGTCTTACCAATCATAGAAATTCACAACATAGAATGAAGTTATTCAGGCCATCAAGTCTTTGCCAGCAGTTTGAAATAGTTATCTAGTAGGTCCCATTTGCCTGCCCTTTTAACACATCCTTCATATATTTACAAATATTTCTCTTCCAAAATCTATTATGGCTTCTCAATCTGTGATCCAACAAGATTCTTAAGTAAAATAGATTCTCCTAACAAATTCCTTTCCACTTCTGATGCTTTTAAATTATGCAATCAAATTATTGGTTCAGTAGAATTCCATTATATCTTATCAAACCTGCAATGTTTTGAGTTCAAACTTCACTCAGTAGTGACACTGCATTTTTCCCTGCAAATGTTCTCCGTCCACTAATTGCATATTGCAACATTATATGGAAAGCTGCTTAGTTTAATCCTGCAGTTCTTGAACTTTGACTACATTACAAAAATCCATGCATTACCCATCCCTGATTGTACAGAGGGCAGTTAAGAGCAGCCACTTGCTTCATCTGAGGGTTAGTTGTCATTTTTTTCATAAGAACAAAACTTATTTTCCCAAATGTTGCATTGATAATAGGGTACACATGGCACCAGATCATTTTTTCAAGCCCAGTGGTCTTGGTGATTCTTGTGACCTTCCTTGTGCTTTTATGGACATAAAAACGTAATTTATTTATGTTTGTGGAAAACTATTTACAGCAGTAAGTCTCCTGCTACATAGGAACTACTAAAAACTTAAGAAAACTAAAACTAGAAAAATTCAGTTTTAAAGTGACTCCAATTTCCAACAACAGCAGGGGCATTCTCTACTATGGTCCTTTATGGTTTTCCCTATGTGTTGGGCTGCAGTACTCTGTAAACATGGTTCTGCAGAGAGACATGGATTTGATGCAGGCACAAGTGGAACAGCATTCTGCACCTTCAGAGCAGGAGAAGGGTGTGAAGGATGAGCATCCTTTATTGCGAACCTATCCGCCTGAGGTGGCAGTGCAGAGCTGCTCGGAGACCAAGGATGCCTTGATTCAAGCATACTTATTTTTGAGGATGGCTGAATCCTCTCTCAATAGCTGTGTTTTCTACTAAGAGATCAGAACACAGACACATTCATGGGATATGGCCATCTCCGGCTCGGCCAGCATTTATTGCCCATCCCTAATTGCCCAAAGGGCAGTTAAGAGTCAACCAAATTGCTGTGTGTCTGAAATCACATGTAGTCCTTACCACAATCAGGTAAGCATGGCAGTTTTCTTCCCTTTTCCTGATGGCCAACATCATTAGACCCTTAATTCAGATATTTTTAAAAATTGAATTCAAATTCCCACCATCTGCTGTGGCAGGAATCGAACCCAGGTTCCCAGCACGTTATCTGGGTCTCTGGATTAACAGTCCAGCAATAATAGTAATATGCGATCATCTCCCTACAAGGCTGTCAAGTAGGAATTGATGAACTCATCAAGAAATGTATTAAAGGAAAAGTGAGGCCTAAAGAAGTGGGACTTTATGATGGTTTGGAGTAATGGGAATTAACATGAGCACAAGCATGATGGATTAAACGGCCTCCCACCTGTACTAAAATTTATACGATTCTGCCTTGCAGGAAGTTTAATAAATATTGCAAAGTCTCGCCATTATTAAATCACCTATCATATACAAAACAAGTCAAGTTTTTTTTATGGCAGATTTGAAGCACGTGTAGCATTTTATTTCATTTGTACAGTTTTGTCCATTCAAATATCATTGCTTTGTGTTAGTGTTTTGGGGTAGTGCTGTCTTCTGTTGCCATATGAACCTAAGCTTTATTTGTTTTATTCAGTAGGCTGCCTTATCTAACACAATCTTCAACTGCATTCGCATTGCCCAGTTCAGCAAAGCCTTTCTCGTAGCAATTTTCAAGTACCTCCCAGTTTGTATCCTTGCATTGTCAATGATGTATTTATTCATTTCCTGCTTCAGTCATGCCCATTCTCCATCAGACTGTCACTCACCTTCAGAGTGAGAACTTACTGTGTTAAAGTTAATGGTGGTTGCAGCTTCATCATAAAGGAAAGCTAAAACATTTCTTTTAAAGAATAAACAATGAAAAGTACTTTCGAAACATTTCAGGGAATTTTCAATAATGTTTCTATCAAGAAAATCAAATTTGATCTTTTTTTCAGAAATGGATGAGTTTTGCATAAACATACCCACATGTAACATAGCGCATGTCCCCATAAAAGTCTTCCATAGGAAAACATAGATTTTTGTAATTGTCTACTTTTCAGGTACTCAATAATTTTATGCAAATTCATAGATTATTCAGTTCTAATATTGGATTTTTAAAATTGAAGTGGATTATATCACCTCCTAAAACACTCTTGCACTTATCTTTTAATTAGGGAAAGTACCCAAGTCTCTGTGGCACCAAAACCGGAAGTTTGAAGTTAAATATGTTCTTCTGTCTTGCTTTATTAATAATTGTGTAGTTCGACATTGTTACGTAGAAAATAAGGAATTTGCAAATAGGATCCTAGTGAGGTTTGTATACTCTAGTCTTAGTGGATGACCTAAATAATTTGTACTTATAGTTTTCCTCTGTGGTTACAATAATTTCTCTCAGAAGAAAATAACGTCACCAAGTGCAGTGAAATTAGTTTCACTTTCGTCTGCAAATGCGTAACAGTGTTGACCTTTATGTCAAAGTGATCAATTGACCCTTGTACAATGACCTATTTTTCTTTGTTTAAACCCTGTCACCTAAATGTCATTTAGAATAATATACTGAGGTATGTAAAACATTTTCTGATCTGCCAGGCTTTAGCAAACTTTGAGATTTTAATTAAAATCTTTTGAGATTTTAATTTGTATTACAATCAGAAAAGATGTTTTACATTTTTCGTAAAACATGAAAGAGCTTCCTTGACACCTTAGTTCACTCAAGCACTGCCAAACTGAAGCATACAAATAAGGAACATCCCAGGTTTAATTCTCTTTGTCAAGTTGGCTGATTCCAGCGAAAATGAATTCATTGTCTTTGATGGCCTGGACCTTGAAGGAAAACAACTCATCACAGGACAGTTAATGTGCTGGAAATTGCACATTTGGGTATATGAAGTGACATCAGGATTGGGGTTGATTGATTGACTCCTGTAGTTAAATGATCTTCAGTTAGCTCCCTCAGAGTGAACGGCAATATGCATTGAAATTGTACCCCTTAGGGCTCTTGTGGTGCAGTGGTCGTGTCCCTATTCGAAGCCAGGAGACCAGAGTTCAAGTCCCACCTGCTGCAGAGGTGTATAAGACCATATCTGAACAACTTGATTAGAAGGTATTGAGAAATCATCTAGGGGGTCTTGTGGCACAGCAATAACGTCCCTATCAATGGGCCAGACGACCTTGAGTTCAAGTCCCCGGGAATGTGACAAAGCAGGTCCGAACAGATTGATTAAAATAAGTAGAATTCATCTCCTCTAGAGGGGTAAAAATGCTAGAGGAAAACTGTAGGACATAAATTTGCTGACAAGGAAAAATACATGTTGTCAGCTGCATGAACTGAAATGTAAGTTTAATCACTGACTACCGTTAAAAAGTGGATCAGATATGAAATTAGAAAATAGCATGCAAAGAGCTAATTGATATGTGTCCCATGATAAAATTAGAGCCCTGTATCTCTTTGGTTTGCTTTCTAAAACCTTGTAACTATGTGAATTGTATGGTATATGCAAATTCTAACTTAGCTGTCTATCCACTGGCATCTACAAATGGATATCCTATTTCACAAAGAATCACCTTGTTTATTTCTAACTATTCCAAGCGAAAAGAAGTGCACAGTAGTATGTTATCTGAAACAGAATCATCTTGGGAATTCACAAGATATTCTCCAGCTATCCTGTATCCACTTTTACATTTTATAATAACTGATTCTTCTCCATTGCAACCTTTCAATTCATCTTGTATAGTTTGTATAATGCTATAGCGTAGTGTATATTTTCCTTTTGATTTTGTTAGCAGAAAAGTTAATTGGGCAATAAAAAGAACTTTGTTGACTTATCTGTTGGAAGATATAGTGCATCAGATTTGTTTTTCCTGTGGGCAGCTTTGGTGTTTCCGGCTTTGTTCTGAGGAAATCATGTGGTCTGGCAGGGATATAATGTGTGCTGTTTATTTGCTCACACATGATGTTACCTGACGCATGTCTCCACAGATGCTGTTCATAAACATAATCCACAAATTTGCAACAGACTTGTTGAAAGCCTGATAGTATATTTGCAGGATAGATTTGTGAAGCTGTTGATGTGACATAAGCACCATGACTGTGCTTAACCTTGAAGTGAAAGCCGGGGGAGGCAGTGTGGTATTTGTCTCTTCTGCAGCTTTTTATAGAATTGATCCAGCTGTAGCTGGTTATACTCCGCCAATTCAGTTAAAGCAGGCTTGTACATGGATAATGGTTTAGTTTTGCTGCAAATAACATTGCGTGTGAATAGCAAAATGTGAAAAGGGCTTAAACTTCTGCTAATCTTTACATTAAAATAGACATCTAACTTCAGATACTGTAGACTTGCCTGTACAAGAGTTCTTTTCACATTTGAGCAATACTGTTCATGATTTTTCCATTTGTGTGGTACCAG